CGTCATGTTAACCTACCCTATAGGAATGATGGCAAACGTCCAGTTTTTATTTTCTGAGAAGCACCTGTGTTCTTGTTTTTAGAAGTTTTATTTTTTAAATTCGATTCCAAGTTATAAAAAACATAAATAAATACGAAAATTAAGCGCTTCGAAATGGAGCAAAGGTTACAGTTTGGCGGCAAAAAAAATATTCCGGATATTATAGAAGATAAGTAATATATTTATCTCTTGTTTGCGAAAATCGCAGATTAATAATTATTGTACTTCTTCTGGTGATAATTTTATCGGTGAATCTAAATGGGGTATTCGAAATTAGCACCTGGTGACGTCATCGTACTTTTGCCAATTGTTTACTACCGAGGAGAGATAAACACATGGGATTGACGAGCGAAGTACAGTTGTCACTATTTCGTATCGATGATTTTGTTGACTAAACTGACCCATTGACCTATATATATGTACACTGCCCAATGGATCATAGTCTGGACTAACGTTTCTGGTCGGTTCCATTAGGAAAACCCATGGTTCTCTTTCGTTACGGACTGTATTTAAGTACGCTTTTATCCCGACCGGATATCTGGTAAATATTTTACGAGTAACCAGTTGCAGCTTTCGAGAGGAAGACTGGATGTAAAGTCAGTGTCAAGGTCGCACCTCTACACACGGAGAGAGGAAATTTTAGCTAACTTGCCTGTCCTTTTGGACTCGGTTCAAGATCGCATTTCCGAAACCGGAAGTGGAAGACCTCTGGCCGTTTCCTGTTGGCCTTGAAGCCGCGGATACGTCTTATCGAATTTAGTTCGGTTTTGTGACGTCATTCAGTTGTTAAGCGGAACTAAAACATCTTTAATTATCGCTTTTTAAAATCAGTTTTACAAACACTTCCTTCTTTTCTATTTTGCTTTTGTTACCGGCCGACTCTCCCCGATATGTCTCCTTTAGCGATCAATTTGGTAGACTAAATCTATTTATAACTTTCAAAAGAATATATTAGCGTTTCTCGCCAGAATTATTTGCATTCGACGGTGTTTTGAAACTAACCGAGATATTTGGCATGGTGTAGGAGGGGACGGATCCGCATTCGTTGAGCTTCTGCCACATCCAGCGGGTTAACAATTTCGTCTCATTAAAAAAAAATCCGAAAGGTGGCGTATCGGGGAAAGATTACATCATTTCCGGCGAAGGTCAGTGTTTCTTGCCGGGATCAATCAATGCCCACGTGGCGCCGACTCTGCACAGACTTATTGATCGCTCACCATTGGGCCATGGCCGATGTCAATGACACCGGGTTGTGGGTGAAACTACATCTATAACAAACGTTTCGATTGCCGCCGTGGAATTTTTTTACTCAAATGCAGTTAGAGCAGAAGGAACTACCGTTGTAGAGCGGCGACAATCAAATCCGCAAAACGTCGATTGATATAGTCAAATCCACAATAACAACAACTGTTTCTAGGAGAGAATAGATTTATTAAAGTTTTCGTTTTCCTCTTTTGTTAGGAAAAAAAATATCGATTTTCGTTACCTTCGTCAACAAGGAAGTGCGAGTTCTTACATATATTTGCAATGAATGGCCTTTCTCCCATTGTTTAAAACGTTGGCTTAACTTTTATTATCTTTCTATTGCGTAAGATAGATTATAAAATCGAATTCAAATTCTGAATTAACCTATTCTATATTTATGTCGATTAATTTTTACCGAAATGGATTAAACACGGGATGTATGATACTGCTTGTATTGTGTTCTTCCGTTACTTTTAGACCATAGCAAACGTTCAAGTCGGAATTGTTTTGCCTATTTAGATACGTATGTAACAAAAATTTCGACAACTAATTAGTTTACTGGCTTAATTTTCTAATTAAATCGGTAAAACAATTCGAGGTGACGAAATTTAGAACGTATTTTAGAACATGATTCTTATACGATGAATAAATAAATAAAAATAGATCTTTTTGAAGTTCTCAAATAAGGCTTCTCTGGTTTAAGATATTTTATATTCCGGAAAGAAAAAAGCTCTATGATTTTGCGACACGGCAAGAATTGGTAAAAGTTATTTTGAAAATGATGTCAAGTGCGAGAAAGCGTTGCAACATCGAGCACACGACGATCGTTTATATAATATTTATTTAATTTGAAAAAAAAAATTCCAGGAAAGAAGATCCAGTAAGTAGGTTAGACTGAACTTTGGCATTAAATATCGAAAAGGCTGTTTATTTAGATCAAACTCGCTCGTTACACATTTGTAAAAGAAAAGAGGACAGTCCCCTCCTCTTTTTTTCAAACACCTGTATAACAGCGGAGACCGAAAACTTATTCGGTGCGGCTTGGCCGTAGCACGAATCGAGGTCAGTGGAACGTCGTTTCACTTTCCATCCCGCGAGTACTAGCGACGCTTGACCCGACCCATTTCCGGTTCCGGTGAGGGATGACGCGATCGACTGGCGCGTTCTACATCCCTCGGAGAAGAGACGAGAGAACGGATTCGTTGCCGACAAACCGTGACACGGTTATGAAGCGCAGAAACCCGAATTATTTTAGACAGGACGGGCGCGAAAAATAAATCTCCCAAGGCAAAAACGCCCCAGATTTTCTGCACCCGTGGCGCCTGCGTGTCGAATTGGGGTTAAGGGAGTGCGTAATATCGATCGCGACATAAATTGGTCGGATTTTGTATACTTTCGTTGCCGTAACTGCAGGCTTTCCGTGCTTCCACCTAACCCGAAAAGACTCGAATTTTCTTTTCGATCGGACTCGTTAGCCATTTATTATTATTATTATTATTTTATTTATGACGTTTCGAATTTTGAATTATAGAAATTTTAAAAGTGGCGCGAGTGGGATTGAAGATTGCACGCGCCTCATCGACTTAGCGCATGCTCGTTGTCTGCCGGCTAACCTTGAACGGGTGAGTGTCAAGGCGGTCGGACGTTCACCTCTTTCCGGTTTCGTCGTTGTCAAGGTGACGGTTATTTGCGCCGATGCGCGGCGCCATTTTTTTTTTCTATTTTGCTTTTTGCGTCGTGTTAATACTTAACCATTCTATTTGGCTGACGATTTTACTTTGCTGCGGGTTGTTTACGAACGCCTTTTTCTAAACCGTGACGCAAATAGTTACTAGCTGTTGCGCAACTCGATAGTAAAATTCCCTTTCTGGCTAAAAGAATCGATTTCGTTCTACGTCTGTCGGTCGGTCGGTCGGTCGGAGATGGCAGCAAAAACTCGGAATTTCCATTAATTTTTGAAATTTTAATCGTTTCGTAAAATATCTAATTAACATATTTTCATTTTTGGAACTTTGCGGACATTTAATTCTCTTTTCTCCCTCCGACATGGTATAAAATGCCTGGAGCTAAAATTACTGTCTCGTTTGATAAACTCGATGCAAGTTACCGATCTAAATATAGTGTAGTTTCGTAGAAAGTTTCCTCCAATGTTTTAGCCAATTAAAAATTACCGTTGTTTAAATTTCCACGTTTTTCTTACCATTTTGTCCGAATGCGCTTGTATTACGTCACGTTATATGGGATCCAAAATAGCGCGAATTCTCAACTAGGTTTAGCCAAGTGTACATTTTTAAAATAACCAACACAACTTGTCTTTCACAGCTGACAGGAATAAAGAACTAGAAATTGAACGAATAACAACAATAATACCAGAATGAAACCTTGACCGTGGATAGTGTAAACTCCGTTTCCTGTAGATTGTAATTTTAAAAATAGGTCAGGGACGAAAGGGGTTGGTACGGACTAGGTATTACTATTACAACGAGGAAGAATCCATTTTTCTTACTTTCATGCGTAACCTTCTATTGATTACACAACGTGAATAAATTTTTATTTAGTACGGATTTTTGTTTCTGGTAAATAAATATTTTTTCCTTATTTTGCAGAATAAATGAATGACAATATCATACTCGTTAACGTTTGGATCACCTCCAATAAAATTTATCTTTCTTCGTAAATGTATTTGTATACATAAGCAGTCGAGTTTTGGTACAATTACATCAATGAAAGACGATTTAATTTTATTCATCTCGAAGCTTAAGAATAAAAAATTAACGTTAAATGATTAAAATCGAATTTGTTTTAGATCTTTAAGTTGTTTTTGAGCTCTGTTTTAAGGCTTAAAAGTGATAATCAGCGAGTGGACGGACCTTTTTCAGTTTTTAATTCTTCCATAAGGAAGTAGAAGAATCTGGTTTGAGGGATTGTAGGAATGTCATCGATTAAATTTATTTTAATCGTTACTTTCGGGATATTAAACGTTGATGAATGGATTTGAGACTCGCCCTTGAATTTAAATCTAAATTTCGGTTCAAATGTTTGTTTATATTTATTAATAGTAGTGTGAATTAACTTTAGAATCTAACTAATTATATTTATGTTCATAATTAAGTATCGTCTCGAAGAGATAAGGGTAGAAAAATTTTAAATCTTTTAATAAAGTGTAATGAAATTTCACAAATAACTTTAAGATAAAAATAGAGTAAAATAAAAACAACCACTGATAAAATTTATATTGAAAATAATAACAAACTTATTTTATTAATTTTGATTAAATTTTAAATATTTTAATAAAACTACTGAATAATAAATGAAAAAAAAAATTGTTTGTCACTCAAATAATTCTATAGGAAATTAAATACAGTCATTCTATATCGCGAGTTTCCACGTAGCTGAAATGCCGAAAAATAATTAACAATTGCTTATCAAATATTGATATGTGAGGGAACAGATTAAAACGAAAACGTAGCTAAACGAGTGGAAAAAATAATGGTAATGAGATATCTAATAATGTAGCTTTTTATTAAAATGTTTCGTTTATAATTAGAATGTATTATTCGGTCCTGGATTTGTTATTCTATTATTATTATTATTATTATTCCGAAATAAATCTCTGTGTCGTCAGATTTATTAAAATTCCGATACAGATTAGTCATTACAATTATAAGTATTAGTAATTTAATATATAACTTATGTATATGTATATTTCATTGCAGTGAATACCTATAGCGATGTAAGGCAACACGAAGGCCAAACGGGTGAAAGCTTATCGGGCGAGGGTTTATTACATATGGAATCTCCTAGCCCCATTCCAGAAACCAAGACTTTATTGCAGAACATATTGCAACAAGCGCCCGCTCACGTCCCTTGCCACTTGAACAGTTTATGTAATGCCATGGCGTCGTGTGTCAATGCCACAGGTGAGTTTCATTACCATAATTAGTATTGTCGCCATTAACGGAATGAAATTCTATTTATTGTTATTATATACACACACACACATATACATACGTATATATATATATATTCGTCATCGTTATTATTAGCAATACTTTACAATACATATGGGTTCTATTTTGTCATCCGCGTGTGTCCACTTTCACAGCATCTCCGGCATGTAAGGAAGCCGAAATGCTCCCTGCCGAAAATTTGTATTCTAATGTAAGATATCTCGGGGAATTTAATTTCCTTCCGCTAACTTATCAACGTTATTTTCGGTTGTTTAACTGTTTCTGTGTTTACACGTCTTCATTGCCAAAATTTTTATTATAACGAAAAACTTTAATGTCCCGGAAAATATGTAGTATTTTTTATTTTCCTGGATTGCTTCCATAAGCCGAATCTCCGAGAAGCGCCCTTCTTTATAATGCTAAGTTTCATTTCTAGTAATTGGTAGACGAATATATATATTTATAAACCGCGAATGTCACGCGACCTTAGAGCGGCCATAGGCGAATTGTGTATAAATTGCAACGTGGAAAAAAAGAGCGTCGATGGAAATCAGACGGAAGAACAGGTAGATTTTTACTTGGCAGACTAGACGGTGCCCCTCTCCGACGGCTGTTCATCACCCCGCGGAGCGGAGGCAATGGTACGCTCCCCCAGCTGCCGAGCTCCGCTCTAGTCACGTGATCGGCGCCTGTGCCGTGAAGGGGCAATATCCTTTTATCCTTGAAACGGCGGACGGCTCCGTGTAGCTGTATGGGCTGCTGGCACGAAGGCCAATGGCGGACTCGACACCTTCATCAACCCGAACGGAAAAGCGGTAACCTCGACCGTCGGCTCCGATCGGCCTTAAAAATCGATCGTCAACACAAATGTAAAACTCTTCCGAAAATAAATAATTGAGGATAATTAACGTCTGGTTTGTCTGACTTTCGGCCCGACGGTCTCGTTTCTATTATTATCGACATATTTAATATATTAAGAATTTAATGGCGGAAGGTAAAGAGTAAGGACGAGAGAAAGTATGTTATCCGCTGATGCGCACGTCCAGGCTTTCGTAACACGCTCTAACAATTAGGTGCTACTCGGTCAGTAACCATACTCACCGAGCAGAAAATGCCTCGTTTCTGATGGTTTTCGAATCGCTAGAGCTGACACATTTATTCTTAATATGTTTTAAATTAGCCGATTAAAGACAATAAGCCTTTAGTGGGTTGCGAGAACGGCGGGGTTTCCGGGAAGGACGAAAGTTTTCGATTATTGTACGGTAGAGAGAAGCGCAAATTAGATAAGTCGGTGGGCTAGATTGGCGCGTGAAGTTCCAAGGTGGCCGAGTCTCTCTCCGATCGAACATATCGCGTTCCGGGTGCGGGCGTATTCGTCTGGGCACGCGGGGCTATGTATAGACCGTCGGGGGACGGAAACGAATCGATCCGACAGACCCAATTATTTATTTATCTCTAGAGGTCGTTCCACTACCGGTACCGGAAATAGGAGACGTCGCCAGCTCGTTAAACCGCCTCTACTTCCTGTTTAACCTTAGACCGATAAGTTCGATCGTCGGCTTCCCCCTATCGTTCTTTTTTTTTTCTCGTACGTCCGAACTCCCCGACGGGTCCCGGGTCGGTTCGGGACGAAGATAACGGTCGACCCTCCGCTGACGTCATATCTGAATGGAGTGAGGAACCACGTGATCCGGGTCGATTTCCTGTCTCGTGCGGCCAAATGAAATGGAAACGGAAATGACGTCATCGACATCTTTGTTCGATAACTGAATATGTTTTCCTTTGTTATAGGGGATTTTCTTTTGGAGGTTTTTTTTTGCTTTCTGACCAGATGTTTTCGATCTTTACCCCTTTTCGTCCGGAATAACAGGATGCCAATCCGTTAATTTAGATGTGGAAATAAGAATGATTTAAATCCGTAAACGAACCCAAACGGATAGTTTTGTTGGCTGCTGCGTTGGTGGGTTGATTGGCTTCCTCCTTCCTTAGAAAAGGAAAAAGTAAAACCGAAAGAACAAACACGCTTAATATATATTTCTTCCCGGAAAATTAGGTCGAACTAATAGTTTATAGATTCTCGCTAAACGAAGTAGTTATAAATTGTGATATGCAACAAATATAAAAATCTTTCGTGTTTATGATGTTTGACCTACTTAGAGTAACAATACGAATATTTTTACGATTTATTTTCTAGGTTCCCTCCCACCAAGTCCTGCTGACAGCGGAGTATCTGACGTTGACAGTACCAGTGGTCATCTCAGTAACGATGACACTAAATCCAGACTTCAACCTACACCAGGTAAGAAAATGTTCGCAATAAAATACTCGTATTCGTTTCGGGCCAATTTCATTTATACGATTTATATATGACCATTCGATGGGCATTTTCCCACGGTTTGGTGTTTTGACGCAAATTCGCGACAGGTGTTATGACCACGTGACAACCGACTTTCACCGCTTTGTCTGTCTCCCCTGTACCGTTAACCGACAGGGGAGTTTTGAAGAGTCGGGGTTGACCGATGGTCCGGAGGCCCACTGACCTCGATGCTCCATATTTGGCCCAGAGGCCTATTAAAAGGAGGAAGTTGTTTGGGAAGTCTGACCCACTTAAGAACATCGGTGGGGGATGTAATATTGAAATCAACAAAAGAAGCACCTGGATTACTTGACCATTTTTTTGCACACACACACTATTCACTTGAAGTTGATTTTGTGTTTTTTTTTTATATTTTTTCTAGGTCCACCCTGTCGTACACCAGATTCTCCCAGTCCGAATAGCCAAAGTTATGGAATTCCGGCTTATTGTCAGTTATCTCTCCACTCCCAATATTCCAATAGGGCGTCTACCACCTGTAAGTCGACTTCATATATAATTTACATTTAAATACATAAGTGTTATTGTCTTAGAATCAACCGCACAAAAATTAAACTCGATTTAAAGGAAAAATTAAATTAGGATGTTTCGTTTTATATTAAAAACAATAGAATTTTTATTGACACTTAAAACGTACTTATACGGCACCGAGAAATAGAAGATAGTTGCAAATACTGCCACTGTTTCTAAACGTGACATCTCTGCAGTGTTTTAAAAGTTGCTGGAAAATGTTTCGCAATTAAAGCTTTAGTATAAAACAAAGAATCACGTGAGAGAAGAGCGGGCAGACGAACAACGAATCTTATCAGTCCCGTCTAAAGTAAAACGTATCAACAAAAGAGCAGAAACCCGGATCTCTGAGGCCCCAATCCACTATAGGAACGGGGTCGAGAAAGGAAAACGCAATAGTTTCTGGGTCATGCGTTACAAAACTTTCGCTGTCCCAGTTTTTTCTAACTCCGACCGGATATTTGGCTCCGTTTGAACAAGGTGAAAGAAAAGTAGGAGAGATTATCCATTTCACTTCTAAAGTCGATTGTTTTGGATAAATAAGTTTACGTTTAAATTTTTGACATTGTTTTTTATGGCAGCATTTTAAATAGAGCATTAATGTTCGAGTTGAAATAGTCGGGGGACGTCGTTTAGTTTAATAAATTAATTGAGACAAATCGAGTATCTTAAATAATATAAAAATCGAGGCAAACGTTATCGCCGTCTGTAAACAGAGAAAGCGGACGACGATCACATGACAGAGATAAAACATGGCGGTGGATTCACTTCCTCGTCTAAGGTAGGAAGACGGAACTGGTGTGATTACCCTCCGACATCGTTCTCCTCCTCCCTCACTTCCTCCATATTCGACTCAGCTGGCTTCCTGTCTCTTATCACGTGATCGGGATTTCGTCGCAGATTACGACCCGTTTTTCTTCAAAGAACCACTCTCATTGAAATCTTCCCCATTTTTAATTCTTTAGAATGCTAGAAAAACCGGCCGGCTAATAATCCTCTTGTTAAAAAAGCTAGATTGTTTTGTTATAAGAGCAAGTTTTTTTACGTAAGACGAAGAGGATGTTTCAGAGACGGGAAATGATTTGGCGCAGGCTCATTCCAGTGCCATAGTAACGGCAGCGAAGCTTGTGTATGACCTTCAGGCAGCCGGCAAAGTCAACGTGTCGTTGAACCACTAACTCACTGGCATTGAAATCTAGTTCTGCAGCTTGCCACCGTGGCGCGTCAAGCGCCTATTTTCCTTCCTTTTTCCCAAGGTAGAGATGAGTCATTTATGGATACGCTTCTTACGTTTTATCCGTTTTATTAATACTTAAACTTTTATATTTTTAGTCTTTCTCTACATATATAAATAATAAGCATTAAAACGTATTTAATAGTTACGAAACGAGATAATGATTTGATGGTTAATTTTCTTTATCTGGTAATGTTTAGCGAAGATAAAATACATCAGGATTTTGTAGGATGTCGATTTTGACCATTCCGAAAACCAGGATGTCTTCCTGTATTTCTCTTATCGCAGACGTTTAAATATCTAATACATGCTTATACGACAAATAAAGGATCGTTTTATCTCGCTTTTCTTTCGTCATTCGCTACTTAGTCTATCGCTAAATTAGGGAGCGCTAGCGGAATAAAATGCGATTTATTAAGAACTCGTTTAGTAGTTTCTCCGTCGCCAAAGTCCTCGACCTTCGCAGAAAACGCCCGTAATGGTATTAATAGGACAAGAGCATTCAGTCGTTTCAGATCGCCTCAGCACGCTTGGTTTACTTCTCCGCCTCCCTCTTCTCTCGTAGTAGCTTCGTCCACTCGTTACTTCCGGTTTCCCCGCTGACTTCCGACAGTGGCTCTAAGTGGTCGAGACGTCGCAGTCGATTTATAAAAATAAATTAACATTCCCGCTTTTGAGAATAGGATCGTGTCGTTTACGAAATTCGCCATTAATTGATCTTCCTTCCCTTCCTTTTCCTCATAAAATTCTATCCCCGACGAAACCCAGTTCGGTTGGTTACCTTACTTCCGTAAAATTGATCTACGCCGCCACCAGCTTTTATTGATCGCGGATGGCGCTTTACGCTATTAAAAGCGGCATAGTTTAATCGAGTGCAGAAACATTTTCGGACTCATAATTCTGCTCTGTTACTTTCGATGCAAGTCGAAAATTCAAAATGTCGGCCGTCTCCAACAGGAAATGGGCGATATCCGTTTCTGTTAACGAGCTTCGGCAATCGGGATTTCTGTATAAATCGTACCTTGTACAAGATTGCGAAATTTTATCGCCGTGCTACAAAATACAGAATTAATCTAATATCTAGTTTTCGGCTTTCCTACGGGGGTGAAAGTTTCATAAAATCGAAAGTGTTATTTGCTGTGTAATTGCGTGAGAGGTTTTTTTCACTCGCCGTGAAAATAAACAAAATGAATACTAGTTGAAAATTTGAAGTGTATATAAGTTAATATTTAATTTGCTACTGCCCTAAGACCTTTAGGAATCATTTATTCTCGGGAAAATAATTTTTTATTCAGCTTTAGAATACCCCAGGGTCGATTATGTAAAATTTAATGAATATATTGGAAAAGAATTATATAAGCGATAATGACGTTTTCACTAAATCCCAAAGAAAATAGTCAATTTATATAGAAATTGAACGAGATAAGCTTGCGTCTCGATTATTCAAAATTCCCCCAATCGATCTGGAAGCCTGTAGATGGGAAACACACGCATGCTCCAATAGGCGGCGCCACTATTGTTCCGGACCATTGACACTGCGTGCATAGCCTTGACCCTAGAGCTTGAACCCCGTCACGTGACACGGAAAGCGCCGTCTAGCGTTCGTCGCTACAATTAATTTATGTAATTTTTTTTTATTTGTGTATTTTTCTCGTCTGCATTGGCAATTTTAAACGTCGTCTTTACCACTTTTGTCCCATGAATTGAGAATTTTTTAACAAAAGCCGGGCGATATCGATTCGCGTATAGAATGTTGTCATTCGGATAGTTTCGAAATCGAGTGCGACAGTCGGCACATGAAATTTTAGTGTAAATATAGAAATAATGTGACGTCAGACGCGGAAGGAAGTAGCCCCACCGTCAAGGACAAAATTTCCTCGAAATATTTGGGATTAAAACAGGAAACGTTAGCGATAACATCATCTCCAGTTTATATAAACAATAATCACTTAAAAATCGCAACCGAATAAAAATAAGCGTATTAATGTTCATTAATTAAAATTGAAACCTACGTACGACGACGTCACAGAGGTTTAAATTTCAATCAGTACTTCCGGTACTTTTAGAACATTTACTAGAAACAAACGTATAGAAAATCCGACCTTAGCTATAATTTTAACGATATATTTAATTTTCTTATCCTCCATCATCCTACAACAGATGGTCAAAGCCGAAAATTCCACTATCGGTTTCCTGTAGAGGATATATAATCTGATAAACGGTAACATTATTGAAGATCAGATTCTGAAAGTTTGCTATATGCGCCTGCGCACGCGGTTGTACCTCTATCTCGTGCCCACACATACTCCGGTGTCAATACACTTTCAAGGTTACCGTTAGCGCATTCTGCGCTTGCTCCTTTTACTCCGATATTCGCTCGATCGTGCCGCTATCTGATGGCGGAAAATCACACTAAACCAATTTTAATTCTATTTTCTTTTATTATAATATCGCAATAGAAAATAAATATAAAATTTTGATAATTAGATCCTTCGGAGGCAGCTTCTTCCTTCGTATATAATATGGTTATTTTTTTCTTACACTTCAGCAATAAATAATGTCGTAAAATTACTTTTCTAACAGTATTGTGTTGATAGATTGATTTAGAAGTAATTAGTATTTTATTTCAAGTAAACTTTTAATTAAAACTACTAGTACCATGTGTTATCTTAACGTTTATTTATTGTGATAAATATTTTTAATAATTTTAAATCGACTAATTATTTTGAAAAATAATTAATAATTAAATAGCATTAAACAACAAATAACATTAATAAAAAATGACAAATAACGTTATTTGTCATTTTTTAAAATTTGTCTTTAATTAAAATCATTCGCTATTATTTGAGTTATAATTTTATGTATATTTATACCTAAAAATGTTTACATTGATAGTTCAATATGTTTCGGTGGTGCCATCTGTTACATAAAAATAATACTAAATGCGTTTAAGTGAGCATGAATATGGTATTATCACTTTTATTATTTACTATTAGATTTTATAAATTAATCGATACGATGTATCATCACTGAATTTAAAATATATCTGATATACTGAGAATTCATATACTGAGAAAACTATTGGTAATTTTAAGTGATTAATGAAACTTCAATAGATTTTTTTAAGCGTATTGTTTTTTTTTATAGCGTTTACTGTAATTGAATTTTCAGTTTAAATATTAAAAGTTAAAAATGTTTATTTTTATAATTTGTGGTTAAGATTAATAATTGTGAAATGATTCTATGTTTAAACGAGTTTAAAATTCTCGACTGCCATCTGTTGGATAAAATATTTACTATGTCTTATCAGTACTGTATTTCTTTTCTTTTTATTGGAAAATTATATTAAATCTCATTAACCGTTTCTTTTATTTAATTACGAACAAAATTCCTATTGAGAATATATATAACGTTTAAAAAATATTTTTTAAGTTATATAATTATTACGCCATTACATTTGTAATATGCTGTATTTTTTTACCGTAGATTCCAATATGGCAAATTTATATAATTCGCCGGCGGGATCATATAGGAACACATCTTACCTCGAAAAACCCCATTCCAGTACTTCTCCTCAAGTTAACACCAGTAGCCATTTGGCAGCAGCGCTAGCAGCAACAAGAACACATCATCCTCTCACACTAACGAGGACTAGTCCGACTTCACCAACTTCATCTGGTCTCAGTTCACCAATTTCTATTCCCACATCTGTCATAACAGCCACTCATTGCAGTAGTCCAACAGATTTAGATCAGGATGTATCCTGTTTTGTAGAGGATTTATCCTTCCAACCTAGGCCGAAGAAAAAAGGTAAGCCATGATTATTTTAGGTTTAAAATATATATAAGATACACAATATCCGAAATTTATACACATAAAGCTTGTATTTTTCTGGAAGTTTGCGATTTAAATCTTCTTTTATGCTCGTCGTTTTAATAAAAATAATGTGATTTTTCAATGTATACCTGCTACAAGATAACGGATAAAATAATTAGAATTTCCTATATTAACACCCGATTAATTTTTTGTTGGTAAAAAAGTATATTTTGAATTATTTAATTTAAAAATATTTAACATGCAAAATTAATTTAATAGGAAGAAGACCAAAAAATGCAGACGGATCGTTACCGACTGTTAAAAGAAAAAATAGAGAAGGTAAGCAAATTGCATGTATATATGTTACTGTAAAACCCGTATTATATATTATATAAAATTAATTTTATAAAAAGTTAAATATTAGAAAGAATGGATTTAATAAGTTAAATCAATTTTTCAGGTTCAACAACATTTCTATGGGAATTTTTATTAAAATTACTACAGGACAAAGAATATTGTCCTCGTTATATCAAGTGGACCAACCGAGAAAAAGGTGTTTTTAAATTAGTCGACTCCAAAGCTGTATCACGTCTTTGGGGAATCCATAAAAACAAACCAGATATGAATTACGAAACAATGGGAAGAGCATTGAGGTAAAAATAATATAATTTTTTAAAAATCTATAATTACGGATATATCTTAAGTTTACACACGTTTCAATGATTCTTAAGCCAATTTCAAAAATCTTATTATTTTTTTCAAATAAATTTTATTCTATTTGTTTATGTAAGTGTTGGAAACATTCAACAGTTTCAATTATTTAGTTTTCATACTTTGAAGATAAGTTACCTTACTCAATAATCATATTCATTCATTACTCACAATTCGCTAGTAACTTTGACATATTCAATTTATCTCCTTCAGCGATTTTAATTATTAAATTAGACTGCATTTATTCATCAGCAAATGGGATCTTCTGCAAGCAGTTAATTATTCACTCTAAATTTGTATTTCAATTAATTCCTACCAGAATATTTTGTTATTGTGTCAATATAGAAAAATTACTTCTTGGTTTAAAGATGCACTTAAAATTTTCTACAGAAATTACCTTTTGTCATAATACGACTTGCCTTGGAGCAAACTTAATTATTGCACATAAGCCGATCAAAAAATTTAATAATAAGAACTTTACTTATCCGTGATTATAGATACGATTTCGTATTCTATCAATAATTTATGAATAATGTAAATAATAATGATATTTATTTCATTACTTTAGGTATTATTATCAAAGAGGAATCTTAGCCAAAGTGGATGGTCAGCGATTAGTGTATCAATTTGTTGACGTACCTAAAGACATAGTGGAGATCGATTGTTCAGGAACGTGAATTGTGCTCATGATTGAACTGTGCACTATTTTTATACATACTATATAAATANCCACCTAACCCGAAAAGACTCGAATTTTCTTTTCGATCGGACTCGTTAGCCATTTATTATTATTATTATTATTATTATTATTATTTTATTTATGACGTTTCGAATTTTGAATTATAGAAATTTTAAAAGTGGCGCGAGTGGGATTGAAGATTGCACGCGCCTCATCGACTTAGCGCATGCTCGTTGTCTGCCGGCTAACCTTGAACGGGTGAGTGTCAAGGCGGTCGGACGTTCACCTCTTTCCGGTTTCGTCGTTGTCAAGGTGACGGTTATTTGCGCCGATGCGCGGCGCCATTTTTTTTTTCTATTTTGCTTTTTGCGTCGTGTTAATACTTAACCATTCTATTTGGCTGACGATTTTACTTTGCTGCGGGTTGTTTACGAACGCCTTTTTCTAAACCGTGACGCAAATAGTTACTAGCTGTTGCGCAACTCGATAGTAAAATTCCCTTTCTGGCTAAAAGAATCGATTTCGTTCTACGTCTGTCGGTCGGTCGGTCGGTCGGAGATGGCAGCAAAAACTCGGAATTTCCATTAATTTTTGAAATTTTAATCGTTTCGTAAAATATCTAATTAACATATTTTCATTTTTGGAACTTTGCGGACATTTAATTCTCTTTTCTCCCTCCGACATGGTATAAAATGCCTGGAGCTAAAATTACTGTCTCGTTTGATAAACTCGATGCAAGTTACCGATCTAAATATAGTGTAGTTTCGTAGAAAGTTTCCTCCAATGTTTTAGCCAATTAAAAATTACCGTTGTTTAAATTTCCACGTTTTTCTTACCATTTTGTCCGAATGCGCTTGTATTACGTCACGTTATATGGGATCCAAAATAGCGCGAATTCTCAACTAGGTTTAGCCAAGTGTACATTTTTAAAATAACCAACACAACTTGTCTTTCACAGCTGACAGGAATAAAGAACTAGAAATTGAACGAATAACAACAATAATACCAGAATGAAACCTTGACCGTGGATAGTGTAAACTCCGTTTCCTGTAGATTGTAATTTTAAAAATAGGTCAGGGACGAAAGGGGTTGGTACGGACTAGGTATTACTATTACAACGAGGAAGAATCCATTTTTCTTACTTTCATGCGTAACCTTCTATTGATTACACAACGTGAATAAATTTTTATTTAGTACGGATTTTTGTTTCTGGTAAATAAATATTTTTTCCTTATTTTGCAGAATAAATGAATGACAATATCATACTCGTTAACGTTTGGATCACCTCCAATAAAATTTATCTTTCTTCGTAAATGTATTTGTATACATAAGCAGTCGAGTTTTGGTACAATTACATCAATGAAAGACGATTTAATTTTATTCATCTCGAAGCTTAAGAATAAAAAATTAACGTTAAATGATTAAAATCGAATTTGTTTTAGATCTTTAAGTTGTTTTTGAGCTCTGTTTTAAGGCTTAAAAGTGATAATCAGCGAGTGGACGGACCTTTTTCAGTTTTTAATTCTTCCATAAGGAAGTAGAAGAATCTGGTTTGAGGGATTGTAGGAATGTCATCGATTAAATTTATTTTAATCGTTACTTTCGGGATATTAAACGTTGATGAATGGATTTGAGACTCGCCCTTGAATTTAAATCTAAATTTCGGTTCAAATGTTTGTTTATATTTATTAATAGTAGTGTGAATTAACTTTAGAATCTAACTAATTATATTTATGTTCATAATTAAGTATCGTCTCGAAGAGATAAGGGTAGAAAAATTTTAAATCTTTTAATAAAGTGTAATGAAATTTCACAAATAACTTTAAGATAAAAATAGAGTAAAATAAAAACAACCACTGATAAAATTTATATTGAAAATAATAACAAACTTATTTTATTAATTTTGATTAAATTTTAAATATTTTAATAAAACTACTGAATAATAAATGAAAAAAAAATTGTTTGTCACTCAAATAATTCTATAGGAAATTAAATACAGTCATTCTATATCGCGAGTTTCCACGTAGCTGAAATGCCGAAAAATAATTAACAATTGCTTATCAAATATTGATATGTGAGGGAACAGATTAAAACGAAAACGTAGCTAAACGAGTGGAAAAAATAATGGTAATGAGATATCTAATAATGTAGCTTTTTATTAAAATGTTTCGTTTATAATTAGAATGTATTATTCGGTCCTGGATTTGTTATTCTATTATTATTATTATTATTATTCCGAAATAAATCTCTGTGTCGTCAGATTTATTAAAATTCCGATACAGATTAGTCATTACAATTATAAGTATTAGTAATTTAATATATAACTTATGTATATGTATATTTCATTGCAGTGAATACCTATAGCGATGTAAGGCAACACGAAGGCCAAACGGGTGAAAGCTTATCGGGCGAGGGTTTATTACATATGGAATCTCCTAGCCCCATTCCAGAAACCAAGACTTTATTGCAGAACATATTGCAACAAGCGCCCGCTCACGTCCCTTGCCACTTGAACAGTTTATGTAATGCCATGGCGTCGTGTGTCAATGCCACAGGTGAGTTTCATTACCATAATTAGTATTGTCGCCATTAACGGAATGAAATTCTATTTATTGTTATTATATACACACACATACATATACATACGTATATATATATATTCGTCATCGTTATTATTAGCAATACTTTACAATACATATGGGTTCTATTTTGTCATCCGCGCGTGTCCACTTTCACAGCATCTCCGGCATGTAAGGAAGCCGAAATGCTCCCTGCCGAAAATTTGTATTCTAATGTAAGATATCTCGGGGAATTTAATTTCCTTCCGCTAACTTATCAACGTTATTTTCGGTTGTTTAACTGTTTCTGTGTTTACACGTCTTCATTGCCAAAATTTTTATTATAACGAAAAACTTTAATGTCCCGGAAAATATGTAGTATTTTTTATTTTCCTGGATTGCTTCCATAAGCCGAATCTCCGAGAAGCGCCCTTCTTTATAATGCTAAGTTTCATTTCTAGTAATTGGTAGACGAATATATATATTTATAAACCGCGAATGTCACGCGACCTTAGAGCGGCCATAGGCGAATTGTGTATAAATTGCAACGTGGAAAAAAAGAGCGTCGATGGAAATCAGACGGAAGAACAGGTAGATTTTTACTTGGCAGACTAGACGGTGCCCCTCTCCGACGGCTGTTCATCACCCCGCGGAGCGGAGGCAATGGTACGCTCCCCCAGCTGCCGAGCTCCGCTCTAGTCACGTGATCGGCGCCTGTGCCGTGAAGGGGCAATATCCTTTTATCCTTGAAACGGCGGACGGCTCCGTGTAGCTGTATGGGCTGCTGGCACGAAGGCCAATGGCGGACTCGACACCTTCATCAACCCGAACGGAAAAGCGGTAACCTCGACCGTCGGCTCCGATCGGCCTTAAAAATCGATCGTCAACACAAATGTAAAACTCTTCCGAAAATAAATAATTGAGGATAATTAACGTCTGGTTTGTCAGACTTTCGGCCCGACGGTCTCGTTTCTATTATTATCGACATATTTAATATATTAAGAATTTAATGGCGGAAGGTAAAGAGTAAGGACGAGAGAAAGTATGTTATCCGCTGATGCGCACGTCCAGGCTTTCGTAACACGCTCTAACAATTAGGTGCTACTCGGTCAGTAACCATACTCACCGAGCAGAAAATGCCTCGTTTCTGATGGTTTTCGAATCGCTAGAGCTGACACATTTATTCTTAATATGTTTTAAATTAGCCGATTAAAGACAATAAGCCTTTAGTGGGTTGCGAGAACGGCGGGGTTTCCGGGAAGGACGAAAGTTTTCGATTATTGTACGGTAGAGAGAAGCGCAAATTAGATAAGTCGGTGGGCTAGATTGGCGCGTGAAGTTCCAAGGTGGCCGAGTCTCTCTCCGATCGAACATATCGCGTTCCGGGTGCGGGCGTATTCGTCTGGGCACGCGGGGCTATGTATAGACCGTCGGGGGACGGAAACGAATCGATCCGACAGACCCAATTATTTATTTATCTCTAGAGGTCGTTCCACTACCGGTACCGGAAATAGGAGACGTCGCCAGCTCGTTAAACCGCCTCTACTTCCTGTTTAACCTTAGACCGATAAGTTCGATCGTCGGCTTCCCCCTATCGTTCTTTTTTTTTTCTCGTACGTCCGAACTCCCCGACGGGTCCCGGGTCGGTTCGGGACGAAGATAACGGTCGACCCTCCGCTGACGTCATATCTGAATGGAGTGAGGAACCACGTGATCCGGGTCGATTTCCTGTCTCGTGCGGCCAAATGAAATGGAAACGGAAATGACGTCATCGACATCTTTGTTCGATAACTGAATATGTTTTCCTTTGTTATAGGGGATTTTCTTTTGGAGGTTTTTTTTTGCTTTCTGACCAGATGTTTTCGATCTTTACCCCTTTTCGTCCGGAATAACAGGATGCCAATCCGTTAATTTAGATGTGGAAATAAGAATGATTTAAATCCGTAAACGAACCCAAACGGATAGTTTTGTTGGCTGCTGCGTTGGTGGGTTGATTGGCTTCCTCCTTCCTTAGAAAAGGAAAAAGTAAAACCGAAAGAACAAACACGCTTAATATATATTTCTTCCCGGAAAATTAGGTCGAACTAATAGTTTATAGATTCTCGCTAAACGAAGTAGTTATAAATTGTGATATGCAACAAATATAAAAATCTTTCGTGTTTATGATGTTTGACCTACTTAGAGTAACAATACGAATATTTTTACGATTTATTTTCTAGGTTCCCTCCCACCAAGTCCTGCTGACAGCGGAGTATCTGACGTTGACAGTACCAGTGGTCATCTCAGTAACGATGACACTAAATCCAGACTTCAACCTACACCAGGTAAGAAAATGTTCGCAATAAAATACTCGTATTCGTTTCGGGGCAATTTCATTTATACGATTTATATATGACCATTCGATGGGCATTTTCCCACGGTTTGGTGTTTTGACGCAAATTCGCGACAGGTGTTATGACCACGTGACAATCGACTTTCACCGCTTTGTCTGTCTCCCCTGTACCGTTAACCGACAGGGGAGTTTTGAAGAGTCGGGGTTGACCGATGGTCCGGAGGCCCACTGACCTCGATGCTCCATATTTGGCCCAGAGGCCTATTAAAAGGAGGAAGTTGTTTGGGAAGTCTGACCCACTTAAGAACATCGGTGGGGGATGTAATATTGAAATCAACAAAAGAAGCACCTGGATTACTTGACCATTTTTTTGCACACACACACTATTCACTTGAAGTTGATTTTGTGTTTTTTTTATATTTTTTCTAGGTCCACCCTGTCGTACACCAGATTCTCCCAGTCCGAATAGCCAAAGTTATGGAATTCCGGCTTATTGTCAGTTATCTCTCCACTCCCAATATTCCAATAGGGCGTCTACCACCTGTAAGTCGACTTCATATATAATTTACATTTAAATACATAAGTGTTATTGTCTTAGAATCAACCGCACAAAAATTAAACTCGATTTAAAGGAAAAATTAAATTAGGATGTTTCGTTTTATATTAAAAACAATAGAATTTTTATTGACACTTAAAACGTACTTATACGGCACCGAGAAATAGAAGATAGTTGCAAATACTGCCACTGTTTCTAAACGTGACATCTCTGCAGTGTTTTAAAAGTTGCTGGAAAATGTTTCGCAATTAAAGCTTTAGTATAAAACAAAGAATCACGTGAGAGAAGAGCGGGCAGACGAACAACGAATCTTATCAGTCCCGTCTAAAGTAAAACGTATCAACAAAAGAGCAGAAACCCGGATCTCTGAGGCCCCAATCCACTATAGGAACGGGGTCGAGAAAGGAAAACGCAATAGTTTCTGGGTCATGCGTTACAAAACTTTCGCTGTCCCAGTTTTTTCTAACTCCGACCGGATATTTGGCTCCGTTTGAACAAGGTGAAAGAAAAGTAGGAGAGATTATCCATTTCACTTCTAAAGTCGATTGTTTTGGATAAATAAGTTTACGTTTAAATTTTTGACATTGTTTTTTATGGCAGCATTTTAAATAGAGCATTAATGTTCGAGTTGAAATAGTCGGGGGACGTCGTTTAGTTTAATAAATTAATTGAGACAAATCGAGTATCTTAAATAATATAAAAATCGAGGCAAACGTTATCGCCGTCTGTAAACAGAGAAAGCGGACGACGATCACATGACAGAGATAAAACATGGCGGTGGATTCACTTCCTCGTCTAAGGTAGGAAGACGGAACTGGTGTGATTACCCTCCGACATCGTTCTCCTCCTCCCTCACTTCCTCCAT